TTGGTACTGCATTGATGGAACTTAGGCTACGCTGAAGTTGAAATCCCAAGAAAGAGGGAGTTATGGTTAATGGGTTACATTTTTCAGCAAACTGCTAGATGGAGGTGAACTTTGTTCACTCAACCATGGGTCCTGGGTTGATACTGGTGAATTATCCTTCAATTTGTCTGGTTCATCCTTGTTGTTTACTGCCATGCTCTGTGGTTGTTCGTTTATATTGGACAAGGAGGAGCAAGGAACTTCTGATGAAGTTGCACAAGTGATTTCTTCTGAAGGAACCCTTCTACTTTGCCTGGTCTGTTCCAGTTCTACTGCAACTTCCATCATTGTAGCTCTTCCCTCCAATGATGAGCATCAGTGGCTATGCATTTTAGACCAAACATCAATTATTGAAAGATCTCCCTCTAATTTTTATTTCAACAATTGAAGTTTGATCTAAAATGCATAAGCGTACACATAAATTATTATATTCTTTGATACATTTACAAACAATATTTGAAGACCATAGTTTAGTTCCTCATTTCCTTGTAGCTTGTCTCTGTCATTTTAGGCAAAAACTGTTTTTATAGCAAATAAGCTAAATCCTAATTTTGTACACAGTTATTTATCATTAGTTCTCAAATGATAATAAAAAAAAGATAATTTATCCAATTAAATGAAGAAACCTACGTCATCTCAAATAAAAAATTAGCAAGTTAAATTCTTAAAACTACCAAGCACGTCTCTTTTGGACAACTGACCCCGGATTCCCTGGAGCATGCCCCTCTTTCTATATACTCGGTCGAACACTTGTCCGAAATCTGATATCCCCCAAATCCGCTCTATTCTGTAATTGGCAATATATGAATGCTTGCAATGCAAATGCAACCATTTCCATTTCCTCTCGTCTCTTTTACTTGTTTAAACAATACAATATTATCTCCATCCACACATTATCTTATTTGTTGTTTCTGTATTTATTACAGTTTGGGCACAATGTACGCAGAGCCTGATAGCTTTCCGAGATCCAGGTATGGGAACATTATGCATTCCGATCCCAACATGTCCATCGCTGGGAGTGAAGATGATTTGTACATACGTTATAGCAGCGCATCCACTTCCGATCCTGACCTTTATGAATCCCATGGGATCAGCCCGGAAGGGTCACCCATTACCATGTCACCCTGGAACCAAACCACTTCTTTCATGAGACCTTCGGGTCTCTCTTCCGGGCACGATAATGTTCCGGCTAACAGTCTCATCGGCTCGTTCACACGTGAAGAGGGTCATATTTATTCCTTGGCAGCCACAAAGGATCTCCTTTACACTGGCTCCGATAGTAAGAACATTCGTGTGTGGAAGAATTTGAAAGAGTTTACAGGGTTTAAATCAAACAGTGGGTTGGTTAAGGCCATTGTGATATCTGGGGAAAAGATTTTTTCTGGTCATCAAGATGGAAAGATTCGTGTTTGGAAAATCTCTCCGAAGGACCCCAAAATTTACAAACGAACTGGAACATTGCCGACTCTCAAAGACGTCCTTAAAAGTTCCATTAAACCAAGCAATTACGTGGAAGTGAAGCACAAGCGGTCTTTATGGATAAAACACGCGGATGCGGTGTCTTGTTTGAGCTTGAATGAGGAACAAGGTCTTCTTTACTCTGCCTCATGGGATGGGACATTCAAAGTTTGGAGGATTTCTGATTCCAAATGCCTTGAATCGCTTCATGCACACGACGACTCTGTTAACTCGGTGGTTTCGACCTTGAGTGGAATGGTTTTCACAGGCTCCGCTGACGGAACCGTTAAAGAGTGGAAAAGGGAACAACAACCGAAAGGAGCAAAGCATATGTTGGCCCAAACTCTTTTACAACAAGACTGTGCTGTGACGTCGTTGGCAATCAACAGCAAGGGCTCAGTATTGTACTGTGGCTCCAGTGACGGCGTGGTCAATTTCTGGGAAGTTGAGAAACAATTAGCCTACGGCGGGGTCCTTAACGGGCACAAGCAGGCTGTCCTCTGCCTTACGGCTACTGAGAATTTGGTGTTTAGCGGATCAGCTGATAAGACTATATGTGTTTGGCGGAAGGACGGCAACATCCACACGTCCCTCTGTGTGCTGACGGGCCATATGGGGCCCGTCAAATGCTTGGCCGTCGAAAAGGATCATGAATCGGGGAGTGAGCAGCGGCGGATTTTGTACAGTGGGAGCCTTGATAATTCGGTGAAGGTTTGGAGTGTGGCGGAATATGCCCAGGTAACAGCGGGGCACCACAATCATCATCATCTTCATCATTGGCGGCCGAATTTCGATTACAATACGGATTATGAGAGCGCCGCTTCCAGCCAGCATAGGCGACACTGATCAACATGCATTGCTGCCAAATGTCCATTTATAATAATTTCTTTTTCAAAATTCACACGTGCGAAACTAAGGGTACATGATTCTGTGACGCGTACACTTCACGTAGAAGAGAGATGAGAGCGATCATTTTGGGATTTTAGTATTGGTAATAGTTTATGGTCATGGATCATTAACATAATAACATTCAAAATTGATTTTTCTTATATAAAATTTGTTTTTGCGATGACTAAATTATTAAAAAAATATTTCATCTCTTCAAATGAGTCTCACTTCAAATTTAGAAAGAATATAAAATAATGTTTGTTAAAAAATTCTCAATCATTTACAATGAACGCTCGTATCTCTGTTATGAGCTGACATATGTGATGTTCGAACCTAAGATTTCAATCAATAAAAATAAGTCTCTTAATCATTGAAGTCATTAGGTTCATACTAATATTTTTTTGCAAAGTTCAACAATGAAAAGTATATTTGATCTAATGAATCTATACAAGTTCTAGAGAAAATATATTAGACTTGTAATTATTTAGGTTCAATATTTACTGTACCTAACCTGACCGTCAGATAATCACGTCACTCAAAATAAATAATAGAGCTCACAACCTTGACATGCAAGCATTGTAATAAGAAAAAAATGAGTAGAGATCATCATCCAAGAAAGATGTTAATTCCAAGATATGTCGATAAATTATTAATTTAATGGTTAATCCAATCTACTTAAATTACATTTTGACATAATCATAATATAATTTAAATTTAAAATCTTCACTCGGTTAAGTGATCAGGCTTTGGACCTCTAGGATTCAAACCCTCTTCCCACTCTGGCAACATGAATTTTTGTAATTTTATTTAAAAATTATATTAATCAAATAAAAATCTTAAAAAATAACACATGAATTATTGATGAGAGGAGAGAAAATGTCATGAAAATTAAAAAATGTCATGTCTTTAAATTCTTTATGATCGGTGACTAAGATAAGAAAAAAATAATGTTATGGATGTTTTTACAAAAAAAAAAGTTTAATTACTTAAATAAGTAAGAGATAATACAGTAATGACTAATAGTGTAGTTTACCCCGGATAAGGACTCATAAAATGTGAAATTATTTTTAAATATCAGGCATGTGTTTAAACACCAATGATTTGGTGTGCCAAAGCAAGTGGAACTGTAAAAGTATATAGCTCCAACTTTGAAATATTTGTAGTATCAAACTGAAAATTATATATCCTTCAAATATTAAATTATTAAAGACATCTCGACCTACAAATGTTAATAGATAATAATAATAATAATAATAATAATAATAATAACAGAATCAAAACATAATTATTCGATAAACGGTATAAACTCGAAATTTTGACCTCTAAAATCAACATCTTTGTGGCTTGTCCAGAGCAGTTCGGGTCTAAACTCGTGGGGCTCCGACCATGTTCGTGGGTCGTGTTAAGCTTATAAAGATTGGTGGTGATCAGCCATGTGCCTCCGTTGGTAACTTATTAAATGTATTTTATTATTAACTTAATTTAAATATATTTTATTTTATTTTAAAAATATATATTTTATGTTAAAATGTTTTAAAGTCAAGAGAAAAATAAAACATATATTTTAAATGAAAATATCTTATTAAATTTGATAAATAGATCCAAGTCTTAAAATTTTAAACAAAAATTGAGACTCGAAATATTAAATTAAATTTTATTTTAAAATGAAAATCAAACAGTTAACCAGAAGTTTATATAAATTTCTTAATTTATATTCTATTTTTTTAAAATTATTTTAAATATTCGGGAACCTTTATAAACTTTTCTATTATAATGAATTTATAAATCAAAGGAACTCAATATATATATACCAGAAGAGATTGTTCTAACATGTTAGAATGGACAACTCAACAAAGGTATATGCGTTGCACCAGTCAACAAGTGAAATCATTTGATTGGAGAATTAAATTTATCTTAGTTTATCAAAAATAATATAATTAAAATAAGAGAATATATCAATAATAGAACCAAATATGTGATTATACCAAAGTATCATGTCATCTAATATGTTAATTTTTAATGACAGATAATCTGTGGTGACCACATATTAATTAAATAAAACGAAAGTAACCATGTATTATATTTTTTTAAATTAAAGAGGAAAAGTGGACAAAACAAAAACCTAAGTGATCAATCATGTAGTTAATCATATATTAAATAATAATGGATATAAATAGATAGATATTATATAGTTTTAAAAATATATATGAATACTGATTGGGCATTTGTGGAATTTACTTTTTTATATAGCCTCCGCCATAATTATTAATTATTACACCTTTTAGTGACTTCTTAATTATTCGTAACAGGCCCAAGTTTATCTTCTCCTTGACTGGGAGCAGGTAGTAAGGATCGTTGAATAAAGCTTTTAGAATTGAATATATAGCAGTGCAGTTCCATATTTACAATTCTTTATTATTTTCCAACAAAGAACAAGGTAGAAAAATTCATTGAGGCTTGCGTGTCAAAATGAAAAGCATGATGTGGTCATGACTTGGTAAACTATAGTTTTCTTAGGTAATAGAGAAAAAGGCATTGTATTAGAAAGTTGACTCTTTTTTTTAAAGTAAATAGGATGTCAGCAAGCACATGATGATCTTAGACTCCAATAGATAAACCAGAAAACATGGCTGAATTTAAGGGGACGGAATATAGAAATGCTAGATGCGAATAAAGCAAGTAGAGTCATTAAACAAGCATACAAAAGGATATTTCAAAGAACACAGGCACAGCCACTGGAGGACTCTGTTTGGCAGAGTGTTCTATGAAAGCAAACCTTCTATTGACTGGGAACCATAGAAAAATCTGTGACTTTTTGATTAACTTTACCTAAAGACAGAAATCTACGGACGTGGATTGCAATTGAAGATGGTTATTGATAGAGACTAGGAGATAAGCGTGGCTTGACAAGAACTTCAAGTGGGGTGGCTTTGATGTTTGTTAGTCCTGGACTCCCAGTCATGTCAACTGGTTCATTTGATGGATTCAAAATGTCGAACCCATGGAGGAAGGTGGCCAGGACAAGGTGCGTCATTTGCAGGCCAAAGCTTATCCCCGGGCACGACCTTCTACCTGCACCAAATGGTATGAGCTCGAAATGCTGACCCTTAACATCAATGTCCTGGTGGCTGGTCAGAAATCTCTCAGGCTTGAACTCTAATGGGTCAGACCATAATCCTGGGTCCCTTTGCATTTTCCAAATGTTTACCACCAATCGGGTGCCTTTGGGAATAAGGTAGCCACCTACAGTGCAGTCTTCGGTGAATTCGCGTGCACCAGCGAGTGGTCCAGCAGGATACAAGCGTAGTGATTCCTTTACAATGGCTTGGAGATACACTAGCTTATTGATGTCCGACTCATTCACTAGTCTTCCCTTCCCAATCTGGGTGTCCAATTCTTCCTGAGCCTTCTCCAAAGCATAGCGGTTATTCAGCAATAGTGCGAGAGTCCAAGTTATTGTCACTGTCACGGTATCTGTGCCCCCTACAAGCAAAGTCTAGAGAGAAACAAAATTATGTTATTTCCATTAAAACATGGTCGAGCCCAGAAATTGATGTTTTTAACTTCATGTTTGTTGAAGAATTCTTACCAGGGCTGTTGCTTTAGTGACAGTATTAACATCATATCCTGAGAGATCCAAACCCTCAAGAACAGAGAGCAGCACATCAATGAAGTCTTGATCTCCTTTAGCTTCATCTTCAACAGAATATTTTTTCCTTCGATGCTCCTCTAACCATTCTTCCATGATACTATCCAATTCCTTTGCAGTCTTCTTCATGGCCTTCTCATGGCAACCCAAGTCCAGCCACCCAAGGAAAGGAATCGCATCCCTTACCACAAACAAGCCTGAGAAATAAAAGAACTCCCTCATGGCCTTCCTGCATCGCCTTGCCTCTTGTTCATCGCTAGCCTTGACAGCCCCAAAAAACCTCTTGCCCGCTATCATCCGAAGAATCACGTTCAGATTCAAGTCCCCCACCCATTTCTTCATTTCAACCAAAACATGAGTTGACTCAACTTTTTGCTTGGCCCATAGCTTGTACAGCTCTTTCACTGAGCTTTCCACTTCAGAGGCTCTAATGTATTTCAAAAGCTCAAGTCTCCGGTTTGATAAAAGCTCTGAGGCTGTTAATTTGCGCATTTCACGCCAGTATGCATTATAAGGGCAGAAACCATAGTTGGCATAGTTATGGCCCATATGTTTCCCGCAGGTAAGTTTAGGCCGGGAAGACACTGCTACGTCATAGTTGGTAAATATTTCCTTGGCCAACTCCGAACTACTGACCACCACGGCAGGGTACAAGCCGATCCGGATGGAAAATATTGGTCCATGCTTGTCGGCTAAGTCTGACAGTGCTAAGTATGGAAGCTTGGATCCTGCTAATACATGGAGATGGCCTATTAAAGGCCATCCACCGACAGCTTCTGGTGGGATTTGAGCGTTCAAAGACTTTCTAGACCAAGTAATTACCAGGAAAAAAGAGAAGATTAATATGGCAAAGACTCCTGCAATGTTACTGTTTAGGTAAGGGAAGAGGAAATCAAAATCCATAATAACTTGGATATTCTTGGTTGAAAAAGGTTTTAGAACTAAGTTTGCCAAATGGTTGGGGATCTGGGAAATTTTAGAGATATACTTTCGACAATGTTTCCGCTTAACAAAGTCAACCTATGACTAATGACAAAAGAAACAACTTTATAAATTTTACGGAAAAGGGCAATTTTTGTCCACTTTTTCTATTATCACGTTTTCATATCAATCTAGCTCTCGAAATTACTCGATTGCATCATGTTATATCTTATCTTAACTTAAAATCTTAAATTATAAATTCTAAATGACAACTTCATACCCTATAAACTATAAGTCCTAAACCATAACTTATGATTCATAATTTAAGATTTTAAATCAGAGATAAGATATAAAATGATGCAATTAAATAATTTCGATGTCAATAATATAAAAGCACGATCTTAAATTTTATTTATTCAAAATACCACGCCACAAGTCGGTAATTATACATTTCAAGTACAGTCGTTCTGGCTTTCATTACAGATGACAAAAAGCTATCAATGTGATCATAAATACTTCATCTGGAGACTGGATGTATGGTACATAAAAAATAGCTATTTATTATATAGTTATAATACCAAATATAGACCAGAAATCCACTGAAAAAAGATATCAATGATTAAATCAACAATTGTTTTTAATAATTTTCATGGAGTCTGTATGTCTGGTACCAAAAAGAACTGAATGCACTGGGAAAAGCAGAGACAAGAGAAGAAGCTGCAAATAAAGAAATGGAGAACAGGGTACATATGCATTCATTCTAGGGAACTTTTGCGGTGTGGCGCTTAAAAAACGATTAAAAATTGATGTGATCGATTAAAATTTAGATAGGTTATGTTATATCATTTAATTGGAAATATTATCAAGCATAATAAAATATTAGGTATCACTTATATAATGTAATAAGTAGCGCTTATATAATGTAATATGTAGCGCTTATATAATAAAATAGGTTAATTACTGGAAATATTATCAAGCACAATAACATATTAGGTAGCGATTATATAATGTCATAGGTAGCGTTTATATATTAAAATAAGTTAATTACTTAATTTGTTAGTACAACATTTTAGGTAAACGCCTAAAATGTTATCAAGGATAACATAATCGGTTAATTACTGGAAACATTATCAAGTATAATAACATATTATGTAGCGCTTATGTAACAAAATATGTAATTATTTACTTAATTTGTTATCAGTTATAATAAACTTACCTTAGGAATAAATGTTAATAAAATTTAAAATACCTATTACATTAAAATAACTACCGTTTTTTTAAGGTTGTTAATAATGTAAACGGTAAAAAAAATAGGCGCTACCTATTATATTAAAATACCTACTAGATACGTTGAAAGTATCAATTCCATTTAAATAAGTATCGACACTTTTAGAATTTAAAAGAAAAGAAGTAATAGCGCCTATAAAGTATCGATTTTATTATGACAATATAACAAGTAAAAATATGACAAAATCAATTTTATTATGACAAAATCGGTAAAATTTACCTGATATGTTGAAAGTATCGATTCTTTTTATAAAAAGGATCGATACTTTACAATATAATAGGTAAAAATATGACAAAACCAATTTTATTATGAAAAAAAACGATAAAATTTACTTGATATATTGAAAGTATCGATCCTTTTATAAAAAGAATAGATACTTTACAATATTACAGGTAAAAATATAACAAAACCAGTTTCATTATGACAAAAGGGTAAAATTTACCTAATATGTTGAAAGTATCGATCCTTTTATAAAAAGAATAGATACTTTACAATATAACATGTAAAAATATGACAAAACCAGTTTCATTATGACAAAACCGGTAAAATTTACCTGATATTTTGAAAGTATAGATACTTTTTATAAAAAGGATCGATATTTTTTTGAAAGTTATGTAATTTATGTTTCAAAAAATTTTAATAGTGTTTCATGTTTTCCACTTACAATATTAATTTAATAATTTCATTTACACAAAAAATTATTTGGTTGTTTTGATATTTTATAAAATATTATTTAGAATTTAAAATTAACAATTTTAACCAAAGATAATAATAAATATGTAATATCTATGTTTATTATTTTTAATTTAATAATAATATATACCGTAACATAAAAAATAAATCACTAGACGCGTATAATTACTAAATTAATATCTTAAAACTCACTCAAAATATAACCTTAAATTAATGTTTTTCACATTGAAATAAGTATGGACACTTATATATATGTATCGATACTTACCGATAACCAAAGTTTACCCGTTACCAAATTTTTTAATAGTTTTTCATGTTTTCTACCTAAAACATTATTAGTCTGTCAACATAATAGATAGCGCTAAACTGAATTTATTAAATATCTTTTAATATATCCGGTAATCATATATATTAACTGTATATTAGTCGCCTTTCCGAGACAATCCCTTCATTCTATCCCAAGGATGTGCCGCCTGGAAATTTCGTTAAGAACAACTAAAGAAAAGTTGAAGGAAGGATGAAGATTTTGTCAGGATTTTTCGCTGTGGGTTGGAGTTGGGTGCTCCAGAAATAATAACGCTGTCGTTTTCGACAGACACAATTTCCACGGAACGGACAACCATACAATCATTATCGATGAAAACAAGGACCAGTTCCCAATTTCCAACACTCTCCAAAGCTTTGAAAGGCCTAACGATGGCGAACAAGGCCCATAATAATTTTGATTTCCAGTTTGTGCTTCTTCTTCTTTTCTTTTGTTTAATGCAGGGGCATTTGGGTAATAAAAAGATTGATAGAGACTGTGCACCAAATATCCAAATGAAAAAGTACAAGACTTCGTTTTCGATCTCGTCACTGCACTTATGAAGCAAAGACACGACAACTAACAATGGATACCTTAGCTTTCTAATTCGTAATGGCTTTTGAGCAGCCCTCCGTTTATGACTCCCATCCCTTTCTCAAACCTTACTGTTTTCCAAAATAATGACATCTAACCTCTACTTACTATTACAGGGTAACTTTACAGGAAAATTAGATCCACTTGAGATTGAGCCTCAACCAAATTGGCCGTGTTATTTTGCCGACGTACGTTTGTAACTTTGTGCACAAAACATATGCTCTGTATATTATTAATGCATATACAAGTGTTTTTATTTTTTAGAACAATTCCAAAAACAATTAAATACGTTTGATTTACAAAATATAAGATTATTTATGAGAACAATATTATCAATATATAACATTACTTGATATATTCTTGGTAATGTTATATTATTTTGTTTGATTTATTTAAAAGATGGGCACGATTTAAGTATTTGGCCGTGATAATATAAAATTATTTGAAAATAAATTTTAATAAATTGTCTTTATAATATTTTTCATATTAAACTAAATATATTTACAGAACTGTTTTTGTTACTCTATCTAAAATTTATAATAAACTTATATATAGTTTATTAACAATATAATTAAAATGTTAAATAATATATATTTTTAAATTGCGTTAAAATATAATTTATCTAATTACATTTACAAATTTATTCAATCGAAACTGTTCAACTCATTAATGTCAAAAGACGATAAAAATTATTTGGAAAGAGTATAGAAATGGTCCCCCAACTATATGATATTATTTTATTAAGTCCATGAATTATTAAAAGTTACAAAATGGTCCTAGGACTATAGAGTGTTATTTTGCCAAGTCACTTGATTATTAAAAGTTACAAAATGATCACCTAACTATTCATTATGTTTTAAACTTGTCATTTTTGTTAAAAATTAACTGTCATCTGAGCTGAACGTTAATATGATAACTAAAATATGATAGTTGTTTGAGATTGGATTTCAAGAAATCGATTGAAAGAACCAGCCAAAGTTGGTGGTCCTTTTAGCGTCTTCTCTGCGTATGTATAGTGCTGGTAATTTATGAAACATCACTGCTCGTATAGTAATTTGAAGATGAAGAACAATAATGTTTGACGACCACTCTGAAAAATTTGGGGTCCTCAAAGGATTATTATCTCTTTGGAGAACTTATTACTTAATTAATATATAGGGTCGTTATTATTGTTTTCCAGTAGACGTGGACCGGACCCATCTATTATCACATCGCACGTTCAAGCTTCCAAGGCAGGGCCTGAGCAACATTAGCATTCAAATATTGGCTACAATCATATCAATGGTCATGGAGGGATGTAGGGGCCATTCCCAGCTCAATGTTTCAGAGAGTGCACCGAGAGCGAAATTGATTGACATAAACTGTCTCAAATATATTTATTTCATTGACCCACTTGTTCACTGTTGGGGACCCTCCTGGGAAAGTCTGCAGAACCCTACCCCCACTATAGACTATGCTCCAGAAATATCAAGATCGTTGCTGTTTTAGAATTCTGGGTTCTCCTTGTTTGTTTGACAGTTGACACAATGCAATCAAATTTACAAGGAACAAAGGCGATCCGACGACATTCACAAGCCTACAGACGTTTTCTTTTTCTTTTCCAGACAAAATTTAAACAACTAATTGGAACAAGATAATTCAAGCAGATCAGACATGCATTTCCACCAAATTACAGGAAAAAAACATCATACTAGCTGGTTCTATGGCGTCTAACACTTGAGAAGAGCTAACTCATTTGAAGATTCAGCGTTGTCCATTTGCCAGCTTGGCCTTCCGAGGGTGAACTCTAGGTTAAGGAACATGTCTGAAGGTGACAAGGAGCCGGGATCTAATCTTTCTTTCATTCTATCCGAGACATGAAGCACTGCCTTGTCTCCATCAACCTATGGCAAAACCAAAAGTTAATCATGACTTTGATAACCAACACAATCATAAAAATTGAACTATCGAGTTTCAACTTGTTGGGTTTGTTTTTTAGTGATACAATCATACCTTAGCATCATTTGGCTCGAAAGTCAAGCCGTGTCCATAGTTTGATATGCTCAAATTATGTGTCTCCGTTGAGGATAGCCATGAACCGCTGCAAACAAGCAAGAAATACCAACAAAAAACAATTGTAAGAAACTCCAAAATATTGCACGCTTATATCAGCTTGTTCGACTTATACTATTG